CGTTGATAAGTTTTGGGCTCCCCACTCCCTAGGCCTCGTCCTAGATATCCTATGCCATATACTAGTATCCTTTCCTTCTAACTCTTTCTTTGTTCGATCCTTCTGCTAGTAACACCCCACAGTAACTTTCTTCATCCTCTGCATCTTGCACGTATTATTGAAGCACTGTTTCCAGTACTTTAGGACATGGTCCAAGCGTGGACCATGCTTTTGATATTCTCTCAGGAACCATCCCAAGTCTTACTTCTCTCTATAGTATATGGGACATCCGTCGTCGCAGTACACCATCTAACTCATTGCATTTTGCTTTGCTTTCTTTGCTCTTTCCCTGAGTTCTTCATCTGTCAGCCCCATGAACAAGTATTCGGGGCTCATCAGTGTAATGTGGCAGGGGCTATCGCCCCAGCCCTTAAGTGGTTACAATAGCACGGGATCTTCTCCCTTGCCATGGTCATTGAATGTGATCGTTACCTGTGCCAGGCTTGCTGGGGTATCGCAGATAGCAGGATGAGAAGGCTTCTTGTGTATTTTCAAAGTTATATATGAAGTACCAGGTTTTATGATGTTTGGGCAAGTAACCCGTCTACTTCACTCAGTATTGAAGGTTACCATAGAAGAAGTGGAAATTGATTATTTCATCGTGTTCATATTCTGGTTCTCCATCATATTCGATTAGAGGTAGAGTAACTATTACTTGTAAGGAAAACTTGTTATCGTAGTTTAGTTCATAGAGTGAGATGTGGAAAGTATTATGTATTCTCACTAAGGGAGGAAGATCAAGCTTATAAGCTTAGTTGCCTATTTTTTTAAGTATCCAGAATGGTCTGATTTTCTTCTAGTCCAGTTTCTTTGATAGCCTTATTGTATAGATATTACATAGTAGCAACTACACCATATCTTGCATGAGTATATTTGCATCAGACCTCACTTGTTTATCACACAGTTCTTTCTACCATTGCTGTGCTTGACTCATTTCATATCTTAATATTTCGTGTTGTTTTTCCATCTTCATTTTGTCCATCATCACACCATGAATTATATGATTTGTAACTCGATGCTGTGGATGTTGTCTATAATTCGCAAAGAATGCTGTCATGCCTCTCATTTCTTGTTTTCCATTGTTGTATGTGAACCCAGCCATTGATAACAGCTTAGGTGAATTATCTTGCTGATAATTGACATAGACCCATAAATATTGCTCAAGTATTGCATTTACCTATTCTGTTTGTTCATCGGTCTACGCTGAAATACGATGTTCTACCGATTTTGTATCCCCATTTCTCCTGTTACTTTTTTCAATAATCCTGATATAAATAGTATTCCTCGATCTGTAATAATATTCTTGAGAAGGCCATGCTGTCGAAAAATATCTTGCAAGAAAGTTCATATAAAATCTCATATATCTGTCACAAATGTGGATTGGCACAGACAAGGTTTTCACATTACTTATGATTATGAGTCATAGGTCAGTTATCCTTTTGCGCTTATGACTCATTTAGGTCATATGACTTGTTATGTTATAATTTATTATGTTTTGTACATGACTCGATTATGAGTCGAGGATCTAGCTCACAAGAGGTTAGAATAGACATTAGTTCATAGGCATTAGTCAAATGAGATATGGAGAAGGAAGGCAATGTGAGAGGATTAGGTAGCTGTGGAAAGGGGAGCAGGAAAGAGGAGAAAATGGGTTTTCAGATACCCATATGAGAAATAGAATAAAGATTCTGTTAAACCTAAGGCTAGGAGAGGGGAGAGAGGAATTAGCCAAATGATGACTTGTTGTTTTTATAGTCAAACTCAGGTCTTTTTTTGCCTGTTTTTCCTGATCCTTCTTCTGCTAAGGGTGGAGTTACTGGGAAGTCAATTATTGATATTTATGATTATTATAACTTTCTAGAAATATAGGAGAATATCAGAGAAAAGGCTGGAGAAGAAGAGGTATTTTTTATCATTGACAATGCTAAGACTCACCTGCCTTTTAGGAGATGGCTCAGAGGGCAGGGAATTACACTGATGGAAATTCCTGCCTATTCACCAGATCTCAATCTAATTGAAAATATTTGGTCTCTGGTGAAATGTAAGCTTCACAAGCACTACCCTGAGCTATATCTTATGAAAGGTGATGTCAATGTGGTCAAGAAGGCAATGGCAGAGGCCATCACTCATTGTTGGGAACTTCTTGACCCAAAGGTTTTTGATACTTTAGCTGGATCAGTAGTGGATAGAATAGAGGCAATTATTATATTAAGGCTGATGGATGGTATACCAAATATTAATTTCTACTATGTATTTACATCTTTTAATTTTTCTTTTGGTTTTCATGATAGTGGATTGGTGGGTGAGTGTTGTTGTCATCGCCGAAGATTTTCCTCTGTTGAATCGCAGTTAATTTTGTCCATGCACAATACCATGATATTGTAAAGAAAACCCCGTCAGAACTGCTTGCCCCGACTCAAGGCTTCTGATTGGCTCTTATCTCTTTTGCTGTACCCTTGAGTTGATTAGTCATCACGTAAGCCCCTTGGATTGGACACCCAATTTAGAAAGGGAAGCCCTTCGCCGAGCGGCCCTCCACCGCTCGGCGACACTTCCTTACCTGTGTGTTCAGCCAACCCAGTGAACATAATCTCGCACTGTTGAAATCACGTTCCGTTATTCACGATCCGACCAACCTTTGAAACAACCTCGGAAACCTTTGTGTCCCGCTACCGTTTTTCTGTCCTCCGTCCCCAAAATTTCCCCGCTGTCAGCTTTACTACCTGCAGACAACACCTCACCGCTTCTGTCTCCTATAACCCCTTCATCCTCCTCAGTCCTTTGCACCAGTTCCCTACCTTTTGCGATACCTCCCGAAGATACCATACAGTATCTGTCATCTCCTTCCCATCAGGAACACCCCCGTTTTCCCCAAATAATTCATCATGGCGAACGACGAGTATGATGTGAGTTTTACCATCCCCTTCCCTTATCCTGCTCCCTCCTCCGGTAAAACTTACAAAATTACGCCATTTCCTAGTTTCTATTCAAAGGTACGACCCAAGAAAAAATAGCACTCCATCCCCTAAGAGCCTTATGACGATGCCCCATTTGTGACCGCCATCGCGTATCATCTACATCGTTTGATGATACTAGTGCGGCTCTTGCATTTATTGCCCTACCATTCGAGATAATCTATTAACAATCTGCGATCTAGTTGTCCTCATTGGAGACTCTGGTGTTGGAAAGTCCAATCTTCTCAGTCGCTTCACTCGTAACGAGTTTAACTTGGACTCTAAGTCGACTATTGGTGTTGAATTTGCCACTCGTTCTATCCAGGTCGATACCAAAACCATCAAAGCCCAGATTTGGGACACCGCTGGCCAAGAACGCTACCGTGCCATCACCTCTGCCTATTACCGGGGAGCTGTTGGGGCTCTGCTAGTCTACGATATCTCTAAACAAATCACCTATGATAATGTTACTCGCTGGCTCAAGGAACTCAGGGACCATGCTGACAACAATATTGTGATCATGCTGGTTGGCAACAAGAGCGATTTGAGGCACCTAAGAGCTGTTCCGACTGAGGATGCAAAGAATTTTGCGGGTGGGTCTCGTGCTAACCTTAAATAACGGGGATCTATATATTAGGATTGTTCTGACACCCCGCAGCCGAGAACCACCTTTCCTTCATTGAAACGTCGGCCCTCGATTCTACGAATGTTGAGCTTGCTTTCCAAACAATTTTAACAGGTATGTGTCACATGACGTTTGCATGGCAAAGCAACAAAAGAACCTAAGCAGGCGCTATTAGAAATCTACCGAATCGTCTCCAGTAAAGCTCTAGACGGGGGAGACCAGCATCAAGTCAGCCAACCCGGAAGTAGTCAGCCCCTTCATATCACCCCCACAGCCGAAAACTCTACCAAGGATACCAAGTGCTGTTGAGTTGTTAGAACTTTCTTTGCATCCCTCCCTTCGAGAAAATGGGATTGAAAGGTAAGGGTGGCACAACGCCGAGTGGGTGGCAGGTTGAAACTTGAAATTTATGTTCTGTTCTTTCCACTTCTCTGTACGTACACTACAAACACCTGATTTGGATGAGTGTTCAAGGAGCTCGGGGCTTAGATTGAGCTGGATCAAGATAAAGTCACGACGAAACACGAATGCACGGGAAACTGACTTTTACTTACATCTGGGGTTGTTGGGATTTTCTTGTTTCTTTCTCACTTCAACAGGATAGTGCTTTTGTTGTTTTTACCCCTATGTTCTCTACATTGATTTATTTTAACCTCTATGTCTAATCTTCCTAAGTCTCATTCTCTAGTCTTCGTTAACAATTGTATCCCAACGATGTAATTGAGGTTGGATGTTGCAGTCGTGGCTATGACTTACACTCAGTAAGATACATGGATCCCATGATCGAGTATAGTATTCCTGCAACTTTGCGTGCGAATTTCACCCTCATAACTTGATAACCAACGTCCTGAGCATTTCTCATAATGGTAATTGCAGTGCTGTTCCTTTTTTTTTTCCCTTTCTGCTTTCAAAGCATTCTCTACTCTATGTATTATATCCCATTTTCTGCAAGACCACCGGCGAGTAAAATATATGCCGTTACCCAACCCAAAGAGATAGCCCTTTTAACCATTCCCCCATCCCAATCCGCACCTCGAAAGCACCGTAATACGCACCAGAACCCCCCCCCCCCCCCCGGCACACACCCCTTTTGTAAAATTCCCCCTTTCCCCAGGAACCCGGTCCCCCTCTTAAAAAGCCCAAAATACCCAAAAATTTCCCCAATCGCCATCAAGAACAGTACCCACGCCTTCCAACCCACCCCAGCCCTCTTCGCCATGCGCAGCATATTGTTCATTGTCCCCCTAAGTCGTATCCGCGTATTATCAAAAGAATCATTCATGCTCGCCATAAGCGTAGAAGAAGACCTGACCTCGTCGCCGATAGCCTCGGTAATCTATACTCCCCCCCCCCAGCCCATATATATTAGCATCTTCCCCCACCCCGCTTCCATCGTGGGAGACAGATTGGGTTAAAAACATACCTCCTTCAACATCTTGACCTTAGCGCTCAACCCCTCGACCTGTGCGTCATTCTGTGACTCTAGCTCTTCCATTACAGAGGCACTGTATTGGCCTCTCGAGTTGGGCGTTGCAGGTCGGTACTGTGCCGTTCCTCTGGGGGGCGCGCCGCTACCGCCATTCGGGTCGCCGAAGAGTTGCGCTCGAGCATCGCGTTGGTGGAGGTACGAGCCGTAACGATTACTGCAGGCCCGTTTAGTTGGCCCGTGAAGCAAGGAGGAGGAGGAGGAGGCCCAAAACGGCTGACAGAAAAGCGAGCGATGGACAGGGATGGGGGAAGTCACCTTGATGAAGCCATCCTTCCCGTCTCCTGATCCCCTGTTTAGGTGGTTTATCGAGGCTCGTTCAATCCCACGACCACCTACTTTGGAAGAAAATGTGGAAGGAAAATACCACAAAAGACTCTACTGGAAACCGATCGACTGATGGATTGATTGATGGAGTTGAATGCGCCGAGCCTGCCCTTGTATGATACTGTAGGTTGGTTCAGTCACGTGTCACTTACTCTGGCAAGTTGGCCTTAAGATACCGGTACATGTGCTCGAGCATTCAACAAAAAAAACTCAGTGCGGCTACAGCATCGTGGGTTAGGTGAAGTCGAGTTAAGCGAGGCCACCCCCGTTGTAAATTTACCCAGAAGATAATGCGAAACTCGTGTTCATAATTCAAAAAAGAAAAAGAAAAGTAACAACTACACTTTACAGCAACGGGTCCCAATCCACCTGTTTTGGAATGGCCTATCTATGTCGACTTGTGTGGGGAAGAAAGGCGGGGGACGGGGGGGGAAGAATACCCACCGAGAAATGATTCCGCTATCCGGATTTTGTTTTTTCCTCTCTATTCGTTCATTCTCCCATACTATTCCCGCTTCTTCCTCTCCTCCTTCCTCTTCACCTCATTGCAAGCCCGGTTTTGCTTTCTCCAGGTTTCGCAGATTACGGTACGGGAACGGCGCGTCGGGGGCTTGGGTTGACGGATAAATGGATGGGTGGGTAAATTTAGAGGGTTCCGCTCCCTCGTCTTCTTTCGTTTCGTCACGTTTTTTTTTTCTTGTTTTTTTCTCCCCTCTCCAAACCCCCGTTTCTTTTTAAGGTTTTCCGGGATGGGTGAAGAAGGGATGAGGGGCAGGCAAAATAAGAAAGCATGAAGGAGAGGAAAAGAAAAAGAAAAAAAAGCATGGGGCTGTTTGCGGCTTGTGTATCTTGTTGCTATGATGCTGTATGCGGTGCATTAATATGTAGTTATACGGTACTCGCAGAGTCTCGTGCCTCTTTGGTACTTGGTGTGATACTTGGAAGGGAAGGACATGGAGTGGGTGAGGGGTTGTATGTTGGTGCTCGTCCTTTGGGGGCTTGGAGCTGGGAAATCTCAAAGTGGAAGCCATAAGAGTGGGATTCACTAATTGGGGTAAAGAATGCCAATTCAAGAAGGCTGGTGCATTTTCGCTGCGGTGATGGTTTGATTGATTTTCGGTCCGATCAAAACCGATGATGTGAACCCGGTGATGGGAAGGTTCTTTTCTCTCCTTTCATTCTGATCCGGGAATAGATAAAGGATATAATGCCCTGTTTCTTGTAATCCAATTTCATTGCTCGTTGGAGTTATTCCACCCGAGAACAGACTTTGCCTGTGCTTCCAATAGTGAAATGGTACAGTACAGTACTTGTACAATATACCATACCGGCAATGTGATACAAGTTCAAGTGAATTGATTGATAGTAATCGCCTCGGAAATTCACTGCTTCCATCCAAAATGTCACACCAGAAGCACTGTGAGTGCCTTTACTTGGTTTGCTAGTATCGGAACTTGTAATTCCACTCGATCTAGGTTCCATGTCCAAGGTGTTTCGGGCCCTCTAGTCCGTAATCCAGCACCCCCATATTGACCCGGAACAGGTACTCTTCGATATTCCTGATTGGGACCTCATGATTCGACCAGTGCTCTCCCGTAGCAGAAGTGGTGTCTGATACCTCAGATGATTTGCCCGGGTGTGCGGGGGAAAGCTCCCGTTGTGCATACAGCGACCCAGAACCACCCCTCCTGCCCTCCTCCCTCTCCCCTCCCACACCCCTCCCGTTCTCCCTTCTCGCCTCGCCATGTAAGGGGTTCACCCAATTCGGCTGAGGTCCATAAAACAGGCTTCCCCGCATACCGGCGTGTCCACTCGAAACATGCGGAACTCCGGGTGCATACTACGCTTCACAATGTCACTGAGAGTGCCCCTCCTTTTTCTCGCTATACGTACCTTCGAGTTTCGATTATGCACAGCAGAAGCAGAGTCCTTCAGCTTATCGATAATGGACAGCTTACTTGCTGCTGTACAACCTCGTGACCAGTTGGGGTTGGCCATTCCAGTCACCCATCGATGCGGAGAGACTTGGTTTCCTGCGCCCAGATAGAAAAGAAAAAAACAAGTACTGCGCACTACAGCCTACCGGCATGATCGGCAATTCACCGCATGTGTGCTTCTCGGTCCGTGACGTAGCAGAGAGGACTTTTGGCCTCAGCCTATCACTACCAGTCACTCAGCATCTGGGATTCGTATTTGTGATTGCTGCTTTGACCAGAGGGAAACCCCCACACCCCTCAGCCCAGCTCAGCACACCCAGCGAGCCAACGAGCCAGCATTAAAGCATTCGAACACAAGGCAAAAAGCAGAAACTTGCATCTCCAATCCATGAGCTCCTATTCGTAAGGCTCGTAGTTGAAACTTAAACTTTCCGAGGAAATCTCCTGCCGAAACTTGCATTGACTTCTCCACCAATTCCCCCCCCCTCCTCCCCTCCTCTCCCCTCATCTCTTCGTGTCAATGATCAAGTGGGTAGGAAATTCGAGACCCGTTGCCTTGCGGAGGAGAGCCAAATAGGATTTCTCGCTGATTTGTTTGACCTGACCTCCTAGGCATCATGCAGGGTCGGCAGATTTTGAGCGAATTTTTTTCAAAAAAAAAACCCCTTCCCCCCCTCCTCCACACACAGATGAATGGGGTTTCCGAGACTTCTGATTATGGCGAATGAAAAGGTGCGTGATAGACAAAGTCCCTACGATCAGTGATGTTGACTTAACTGTTTGACTCCCTTGCTTGACTATCTGCTCTCGTTCTCCCTCTTGCCCCCTTCTTGCTTCCGAACCTCCCTTGCTGCAGTCAGAAATGGGCTTTCAGATTGCCCTAGGGTCTGGTCTTTCACATATCCGTAATGTAGGAAAAAAGGGATTAAACCCAGCAGTGCATCAAGCCCCTGATCCGATACTATGTGAGTCGCGACACCGCATCATGATTCTTCAACGTGAGGCTGTCCAATCCCCCCTCCATCACCGTTCCCCATTTCTCTCTAACCGATAATTAGCTATTATTGTCACGAGATATCACTCGGTTATATCGGCCGGTTCACACAAAGAAAAGAGCCCGTCATTACTCCCCACTACTTCCCAAGCCCCTTGGGGCCGAGGAAAGCCGAACCTTGCCCGAGATGCTGGAAATTCTGCGAGAGCTTACTTGTTCTATACCCGGCAGTTCCCTATCAGTTGCGATGCCTCTTGACACCCAGTATTGGGATCGAATTTTGCTTGTTCATCAGTCCACAGTGTCGATACCAACCCCTCTCCAAATCATTCCACAATTGCAACATTGACATTTGCATACTGTTCAATGTTCAATCCGTAGCCTTATCTTATAATAAACGGTTTGTTCCTTTCTTTCTTTCTTTCTCACTTTGTTTGCTAGGAAGAAGAAAAAAAGACCGCATATGGGACAAGGAAAATTCAAAGAATTCGAGGGTAAAGCAGGAGGGTAAATGTGGGGCTTTTTCCCCTCTTTTATTATCGCGCCCACCTCCCTCCATGTATGATACCCACCCACACAGTGCTATCCCGCGATACCACAGCAACACCGTGATTATCAATCCGATCACATTTGGCTCAACCGAATATTCCTGTACTCATCCTCAATTGGTGTATCTGGCGTTATTAGAGCTGGTCCTTATAACACTGAAATTTCGTTGCTCAGTAATGTTGTGGATGTGGATCGAGTGATGCCCTACCTTCGAATACCCCCGCTATTCCGAAAACACCCCCACGCTTGTAGAAGTCGTTCCTTTTTCTGACAATACTTTCCTCCAGAGATCTTCCACCCAAAAACCACCTGGTCGATGCTGCAAGCCCTAGCGAGCTGAAGCCTTAAAATTAACTGATAGGCGAATCATAACATCCCATGACCGGATTATCGTCTTCCGTACTTCCGTGCTACCTGTAAGTTATCTATATAAGCCCACCGGACGTGAGGCCAAGGGCTCGAATGTATCCCACTACCGATATGCGGAAACTCGATTGGCTACAGTGACTGAGCCCTACGATCCAATCTTCATCAAGCCCGAGCTTGTGTGCATTCAGCTGTAGCTTTCTTTTCTTCTTCCGGTTAGCGATGACCTGGTGGTGGCTCTCATAGGTAATACGAGATCTTGCATATAGGAGGATCATCAATTTCAATGTCAACAGCTTCTCGTCGATACGCTGGGACTCCAAAAAGAAAAGAAAAGAAAGAAAGACATTGAAGGGAGAGGAATAGACTAGCATGGGCACGGTCTACCACATTCCCGGTTACCGCGGCTCAGCAGTTTCTCAGGATCCTCGGGGTTCCCAGATTCATAAGCTCCGATAAAGTAGGGCTAAAGGTCCCGGAGGTGTGGGGTTTTATTTTCGCCCGAATCTTAGTGGCGCTTCCAATTTTTACGAGCATCATATTATTATTACAGTATCATACAGCTAGTGAGTGGACGGAAGATCTTGGCACCCCCCCGCGCCTCCTCCACTCCGCACTATCATACTTTGTGAGCATGTATCAAGGACTTTCAATACAAATAAAAATATATTGGTCATTAAATCAAAGTAGGAGGTCCATGGGAACTTATCTTCCAACAAATTTTTTGCATTAAAAAATGCTGTCAAGAATGCCTGAGATGTTTTGTTCTGGGGAAGGGATGCCTCGGAATTTGTATGAGAGCTCCATACAAAAGATACATTCGTACAATGTCAGTTGTGATATATCTGCGATAATCTTCGACCAATGCAAGAGCATAAAAAGGCTATCCAATAAAATTTCACCTCATGGAAAGTTCCTACTATCAGCAAGAATTACCGTATCCTCATTGTTTGCTCCATAAAACATGTTCATCGAACCGGTGGAGTGGGGTATCATACCTTCGGCGCAAAACGGGGGGTGCCAAAATCTTCCACTAACCAGCACGAACACTGGTCCGGTAAAATTTCGTGTACTAGTACGAGTACAATAATCCACAATCTCCGCACAGGGGCTAATCTCCGTGTTCAGAGACAAAACCCCTCAAGAAGGAATAATGTTCACCTGACATGGTATGGCTTGAGTGTGCTAACCAGGTTACAGTACCGAGATTTCGAACCCCAGCCA